CTAGATATATACTGAACATATAATTGGTTATAGGATATGAGAGAGAGAAAGGAGGTAAGGATAACTCCAAACTTTTGGCCTTAGCAGATAAAAGGATAAATTTGCCCTTAGGTGAGATGAGGAAAATTATGAGCAGGACAGGCTTGAAAAGGAAGATCAGAATTTGATTTTGGAAATGTACATCAGACATACAAGGGATGTTGAATGGCATTTGGACATCTATAATCTATAACTGGAAGGAGAGGTCTGAGCTAAAGATATGATCTTGGTTTTGGTTGACTATAATTGGTATTTAAAGCTATAGGACTAGAGGAGATCACCAAGATAAAGAAGACATGAGAACTGAAGACTAAGCGTGGAGCACTCCAACATTAAGAGACTCGGGAGAAGAGCAGACAACGGAGAATTGAGAAAGAAAAACTAGTGAAGAATGAGAAAAACCAAGAGAGTGATCACAGAAGCCAAATGAAGAAGATGTATGAAGGTGCAGTGAGTGTTCAGCTATGGCAAATACTAACGTACTAAAATTAGGATAGGTAAGATATGATCAATGGACTTAGGAATGTGGGGGGCATTTAGTGACCCTGAAAGGAGTTTTGATGGAGTGGTGGCGGTGAAAGCACTCAAATCTTGTTGATTACATAAATCTGCATATTAATGAACTATTCATTTTTTTCTCCTAGACACTTAGATATAAAGCAGACTTGTTTGGGGGCTCTCCCTTTCACTTGCCTTCAAGTCCTAGTGACTACTTGTCTTATAGATCCTACTTTCACAAACTCTCAAAACAGTTCCTTCCTCTCCCATCCCACAACTCTCTCCTCATCCAAGTCTTTGAAGAAGGCATTACAAATCAATGAAGGTTAGGCTTTTAAATAAATAATGCTAGAACAAGCAGTTATCCATGTTTCAAAAAAAAGATACATATCAACACATATACAAGTTCTAAATGTGAAAACTTTTGGAAGAAATGCAGGAGAATGTAGGAAATCTGTTTATTTGGTTATTACAGATTCCTTTGATACAAAATCTGATACAAAGAGATACTTTGTAGTTTACGAGATTGGTTACGTCTTACAATATGAAGTGTTAATAAGGATGTGAATCATTGGAAATTTTCATATACTGCTTGGTATGATCACTTTGGAGAATATTTAACAGTATCTAGCAAGTCTAAAAATATGCCTACCCTGTAACCCAGCAATTCCACTCTAGTATATCTAGGGCATCTAATGTAATAAGCCCAGTTAAACTAGTACAAGTGAATGAAGAAATATGAACAAGAATATTCTCAAGAACATTATTTGTAACTGAAAAGTGAAACAAGCTAGATGACCATCAAAAAAAATTTAAATAAGAAGTAATACATTGCAAAATGTATTATTATTCAGCAGTTATGATAAGCTAGACCAAGACGTATAGATCTAATTCCTAAGTCACTACTAAATGAAAAAGCAAATTGCAAGATATATACATTTTCATATAAACATATCATTTATGATAAATTTAGTAACATGCAATGCAATATATGTTGTTTATCCAATACTCATATTAAAATATGAGTATTATATACTAAGTTATAATAATAGTTACTACTGAAGGAAGGAAGAGAATAAGGTTGGGGAAGGTTAACATGCTTCAATTATTTATGCTCAATGGTAGCACATGGATATTTATTATGTTATTCTCTGTATTTCTGTATGCTTGAAATTTAAAAACTAATAAAATCAACATATTGCTAAATTACAAACCTCTTCAGCGTGGCATTCAAGACTTTCCACAATATTATCCAACTTCCTTTTCTAGCCTCATCCTTTGATGTTTCCTACAGCAGTGTTTCCCAAGCCGTGGACACATATATGCCTCCTTCATTATTTTTGTTATGTATGCCATCTCTGTTATGATCAATGATTATTTTTCTTTTTATAGTTTTTAACTTAAATAGCCTTGTGCAAATCACTAATTAATTGGAAATTACATGTTTAATATGCCAGTTATATTTTTTCTAATATGAATATAAATAAATACTTATGGATTAAAATATGTGTCTCGGTGCCACCTAAAAACATCAAGTATCATACTTTGGGTTGCACAGTCTCACACCAGTAGTTCTCAGATTTGGTGTACAGGGCTACTTGGGAGGCTTGTTAGAACTGGAGACTCCCAGGGCACCTCAGTGGTTGAGCATTTGCCTTTGGCTCAGGTTGTGATCCCAGGGTCCTGAGATGGAGTTCCACATCAGGCTTCCCACAAGGAGCCTGCATCTCCCTCTGCCTATGTCTCTGCCCCTCTCTCTGTCTCTCATGAATAAATAAAAATCTTTAAAAAATTAAAAAGAAGAACTGAAAACTCCTAAGCCATCCATATAGGATCCTAATTTAGGCAGTCAGAAGACAGAAATCCTATTGTACATGTACCCTTGGCACCTAACAAATACCGTTTGCCATTCTTTAGACAAACTCTATGTTTTCCTTTTCCAATACCTTTCCTCTTACTTCCTCGGCTTGAAGTAACCTTCTCTCTCCTTAAGACAGTAAAAATTCAGCCTACATTTTAGGGCCCAAATTAAATATCACCATCACAATAAAGAACTTTGACCTGGATGTGACATTGCTCTCATTTCAACATCCAACCTTCTGCTATCGATTTACTTCTTTTTCGTATGGGTGCTTATCATATTCAATGTAACGTATGTATTGTCTTATTCCCTCTCCTAGACTATAAATGCTGCTTGAGGGCAGAAGGCTTATACTTGTTCAAAAGTAGGGGTTATGGCTTAGTCATTTTATGCTTTCAACATGGTCATTACTCAGATACTTGCTGGGCTGAGCTCTGCTAAACACTGAATCAATTTCACAATTTTTATTAACATGTTAAAAGTCATGTAGCATAAGGCATTAGAATATTCATTCATACAGCATTACAAATTAAACATAAGAATCTAGGCTACCTAGCTTTCTTTCAAAATGAGACAACTGAAATTATATCCTACATTGAAACAAATAATTTAAACTGTTTTAATTTTTTAAGAGAAAAAAATAAGTTTAACAAAAATGACAAGTTCAGTTTTTAAAATGAAAACTATTTAACTTACAATCTTCCAAGCAAAAGTAAATGATCAAGTTATTAATCAAAAAAGATAGTTTTTGATAACTGCTACAAAAAGCTATTAACTTAAGAACAACACTATTATTAAAGCAAAGTTAATTGACTGGCAAAATTCTCAGTACTTCCAAATGACATTTCAATATGGCTTCCCTTTGCTTTAATAATGCATATTACTCTGCTGCATCATAAGCAATAATTTCTAAGCATCTTTCCCATGTAAAACCCGTAATATATATACATACATACACTTATATATGTAAAATATATATTATATACATATATAAAACCCGCAAAAACTGTAAGTTTTAATCAGAAAATATCAACATGCAACTCATTTGTTTATCTTGTTTTTTCAATTTGGTAATAATAATCTGGTTGGTTTCTATTCCAGGAGTAGACTACACTACTGTTCTAAATACACTTATTTTCACCTAGAGAGAAAATAAACTAGTGGAAGCAGAAACAGGGCTTCAAATGGGAAATGTTCATCAACATCAATCTATATTACAGTATCATCTGGATTTGTATATTTTAGCACATATTTTACATGATACTTTATAAAGACAGAATTGTCAAACAAAAAATATACAAATGATTATACTAACTTCAAGTAATAAAAGGGGGGGATAGAGAAGAAATATTTTGTTACGTTCACTTGGTCCTCTGAGTTAAAAAGAATGAAAAAGACGACAACTATGAGAAATGAAGAATAAGGAAAAGTTCTCACATATCTCATTTTCTCCCCTCATTCATTTTTCTGTCATGTTCCTGTTACATTTCCTCTTTTATATGGCAGGTCAAGTAAACTAAGCTTATATGAAACTTTTTTATTTAACTTTTTCATTCTATTTTTACATTGTAAAAATCAAATTTCAACCTGCTGGGTCCATTTTCCAAAAGAAAACTAACTAACTGGAAGTTAAAGCAATAACTGGGCGTGATCCTGGAGACCTGGGATCGAGTCCCATGTCAGGCTCCCTGCATGGAGCCTGCTTCTCCCTCTGCCTGTGTCTCTGCCTCTCTCTCTCTCTCTGTGTGTGTGTCTCTCGTGAATAATTAAATAAAATGTTTTTTTTAAATAAATAAATAAATAAATAAAGCAATAATGAGGTACTATTATACCTGAGCTCAAGTTAAAAATTATAAAAAATGAGTATAGTATTGGTTTTACTTACCATAAAATGACAGCCTAACTATTGATACTAATAAAGACAGCTACCCAGTTATGGTTACTTCCTAAATAAGTAATCTTTTTTATTTTCTAAAGTACTAAATGTAAACAGACCTTAAGGTTCTATAAATGTTTTAACAGTACTCAAAGACCAATAAAATGCAGAAGTTTAAAGGTAATGAGAGAGAGTTAAATAAACCTATTTCAAAGATCCTATAAGTAGAATAGATCAGATTAGACAAGCTTATTGGAAGGTAACAACATAGCTCATTTTATAAAGCAGTTCTGAGAAATCCAAAAATACCATTTCTCTTTAAAAAAAAAATCAAGGAAGCACTTGGACTAACATGAAATAATGCACAATTTGGCTTGATCAAATACTTCATTAATTTTTTTCTACCCCCTAAGGTACTGCCCTTTTAAAATCCTCTTCAAATAAAATATAACCTAATTGCTTACACATGGCTAGTTTGCAAAGGGATTTTTATTTCAACAGTGCCACCTAGTGGAGCCACTGATACTTTCAAGTGGTCGCTAGTTGGTTGCATTAGTCTCAAAGGTTAGGAGTCCGCAAATAGTTTTATTTTCTGGTTCACAATATTCTTATTAACATTCAAGGGGAAATTTTACAAAAAAAAAATTTACAGATTTTTGTCCTCTGACAGTCTATCTCTAATAAAAATTGGGTTATTTACACATACAATATTTTAAATAAAAGTACCTTAGTGATTTCTTCAGAAGCTCGTTTGAAGTCCTGAACATTTCGACAGTAAAATCCTATTGTACAGCTAGGATCCATTTTTCGAAATGACATCTTTTTGGGAGAAGGGCAGTGGAATGTCTGCAATTTTAAAAGTTCTTTAGGATTAATTCAGTTTTATTTGATGGACTTGAGTATATACAAGATATTACTTAATTTAAAATTTTCCATCTAGCTTTTCTCACAAATATGCTTTAAAATAATGTTTTAGTCTATCCTGTGCAAATGGTTCTTTCCATTCTCCAAAGCAAAACATCACAGCCAACATTCAATTCACCAAATCTCCACTTTATGTGACATTAGTGTCATCTGTAAAAGAAAAAATGTTTGTCAAGTGGCATACATTTATAACACTTGCAGAAAGGAGGAAAAATGTGCCACTGGAAAAAACATACATAAATAAGCTAGTACAAGGTTTAGAATCAAGTTAGTTATTTCTATGAAAGTTCAGTTAAGCCTGGGGGTGGGGGGTGTTGAGATTATTTAATGTTTAAAACCTTTTAATAAGGATATCAAGACTTTGTAAACAAATACACAGATTCATGTAAATGTTCCATAATGATATGAAAAGAGGTCAATTTGAGAGTGTGACAATTCAAGTTGCTTTTTTCCCTTGTAGATAGTTCAATCATACATTAGATTCAAATCCACTATCATGGCAGTGAATATAGGCCAAAAAAATGTGTTTTCAAAACTATGATTTCTATAAAATGCTTAGCTAATACTTACTTTATATAGTGAGATCCAAACTAACTAAACTAGAGCCTCTAAAGTACGAGTCAACACAAGTATTATCTTGGTTGGATTTTTTTCAATACTCTTTCACCTGCTTTATCTGTTTTATTGAAAACAGATCTGAAAAAGCACAGAAGAAATATACAAATTTGTTAGCTAACGATATACAGGAGTATATTAGTGTATAAGGGACAGACAGCTCTAGGTCATATTTACAAAAAGTTATTCTACATAATACAAGCTATTTAAAAATAGTCACTCAACTCCTTCCAAAGCCAATAATAAGGAATGTTTATTTAGTTTTTACTACATGAAGTTAAGGAAGAAGAGCCAAAGGTTTACACAGAGTCCAATAAAGTATTTTTTAAACTCATCTACAAGGATGTCCTACATTATGCTAAATTAATGTTTTCATGTAAGAACCAATAAAACTAAACCAAATGGGCTTAAGTGTTGTTTCACTGTATTGCCTCAAATCATTGTAGATATTAACAACAAACACTACATTGTTATTCATCGTTGTTTTGATACCTCCAAAGAACTTCTTAAATTATTCACAAAAACACAGATATAAATCTCTGATAACTGAAAACTGAAATTGCTATTGGATATTACTATATGAGGACTTGGACTCATATTATAAAGAGGCATTTTATACCATTAAAACTTAAAATTATATTCTCTCATTCACCCAAGAAGATCCTGAAGTCAAGCCAACATTAATTTATAATTCAGAATCATTTCTGTTTGTTGCCAAACAAGTTAAGACTTTAAAATATTTTCCCAAGGGACATTACACAGCTATATTTGCTTTGTGATAATTCTTTGAGCCCTGTACTTATGATTTCTTTTTTAATTTTGAAACTCTGATGATTGGTAAGAGTAGCACCTTCTACTTTACAAACACATTTTAGGGAGTATTTACTAGATACACTTCTGTGACAATGAAATATGTGTCTGAAAAAAACTAGTCAAGGTGAGTCAATTCCTATTTATTTCATTTTTCAACAAATAATTTATTCAATGCCCCAACAAATAGTTATTAGGCACCTACTAAATGCCAGGTACTGTTCTAGGCTTATTTTTTGGAATAGTGGATTCTATTACCTAAACATACAAATAATATTGAAACAAATATGCTATTTTAGTGATTTAGACCCTTACAACAAAGCACCTCCTACTAACTGCAGTTCACATATGTTATTCATGAAGGGTACATCTTTCACTGATGAATTCAATTCACTCATCCATCTAAGCACATCACATCACTCTTTTTTTTTTTTTTTTACATCACATCATTCTTGCAGCTTTAATGCCACTATTCTCCAAATTTACTAGGGTAGATTAAAATAATCACCACTGCATGGACTTCCTAAAATCTGAAACTTGAAACTGGGGGCCCAGGAATCACAAAAGACTAACGTGTATTAATAAGGCTTTTCCTGCCTTATTAGAATATTAATATTTAATAATAAAATATTGCCTTAATAATACAATAGAATTTGTTATTTGTAAGAGTTAGAACCAGTAACGTTTTTTTTTTTTTAATTTATTCATGAGAGACATAGGCAGAGGGAGAAGCAGGCTTCCTGCGGGGAGCCCCATGCAGGACTCAATCCCAGGACTCCGGAATCACGACCTGAGCCAAAGGCAGATGCTCAACCACTGAGCCATCCAGGTGTCCCACTTCTAATAAAATCTTTAAAAAAATAAAAAAGAATACTTGGTCTAATATAGTTTCAAAATGTTATAAGCTAACTCTAACTATTTAGGAATTCAATACCATAAGAACAAAAGATGTAATCTGCTAAATCTCTTCTTCAATCTCAAATATTCAAATATCATACTACTTTCTTAAATTTTCATAATCTTAGTGGATTCAGGACACTCACTCAAAATTACTTACATGGAATTGAGTAAAAGATCTAAGATTTTAATTTCTCCATCTCCTGACCAAAAACAAGTATTGATAGAAAAAAGTTGCTTTCAAAAATAATTTTGGGGCTCCTGGGTGGCTCAGCGGTTGAGTGTCTGCCTTCGGCTCAGGGCGTGATCCAGGGGTCCAGGGATTGAGTCCCATATCACGCTCCCTATAGGGAGCATGCTTCTCCCTCTGCCTATGTCTCCACCTCTCTCTCGGTGTCTCTCATGAATAAATAAATAAAGTCTTTAAAATAATAATAATTGTTGTTGTTATTATTGTTGTTGTTGTTGTTATTTTGGGTGCCTAGGTGGCTCACTTGTTAAGCATCTGACTCCTGATTTTGGCTCAGTTCATGATCTTAGGGTTGTGTGATTGAGCCCTGCATCAGGTTTCATGATCATCGTGGAGTCTGCTTAGGACTTTTTCTCTCCCACAGCCTCTGCCCCTCCCTGCCTCTCAAATAATAAATAAATAGAATCTTTAAAAAAAATAATTTTAATCACTGAAGTAAAAGTAGTTTTAGAATGCTCATATAATTATGTTAATCAACTGCAAAACATCAAGAGCTTACAAATACACACAACCTACATAACAAGGCAAAGATAGTCAACTAATATACAGGGTAGTTAAAATACCTCCCACTTGAAGCATCTTAAATTTAAAATATGATAAAAAGCAAAAAAGTAAAATTTTATTTCTGTACAAAGGCAACCTGCTGTAGTTTTTATATTATACTCTCATAGAAAAATAAATGGTACTATTCACTAAATAGCCTAAGATAAATCCCTGAACTCAGAAAAATGAAAAGCTGTCCAGAGGAATTACCCAGAGAGGTTGAGATACTCTCTCAGCATCTGAAAAATATAAATCTAAACCCACTTTCTCAGTGTCCCAATGTATAAGAAATAAATGCTCTGTGCATTCCAGAAGTTATGTAACTTCACTAAACTTTACAAATCATTTTGTAAAATCATTTTAAAATCATTTCCTCTTAAAATCATTTCCTCTTTTCCATTCTTACTACCAACATCCTACTTCAAGGTTCTATTGATGAACCTATGAAATGTTGCATCTGCCTCTCAACAGTGAGCTGCAGCCTTTCTAATATTGCTAGTGAAGACATAACCAGGATAATCACTCATTTGGTTTCTTTGTGGAATCGTTCAAAATATCAGATGAATAGTCTCTCTACTGGTTGAAACAGTCAACAATAATAATCTTTTAATTTGCCTATTTTTAAAAATATATTTTATTTATTTATTCATGAGAGACACACAGAGAGAGAGGCAGAGATACAGGCAGAGGGAGAAGCAGGCTCCATGCAGGGAGCCCGACATGGGACTCGATCCCAGAACTCCAGGATCACACCCTGGGCTGAAGGCGGCGCTGAACCACTGAGCCACCAGGGCTGCCCAAGAGAAGGAAAATTTAACTATTACTTAATACTTCTGGGGTTTTATAATGTATATTTATCATATAAATATGATTGTTAGTGTTTTCTAACTTTATAATATGTTCTAAATATACATATATATGCATAATATAAACTAAACTATTAGAGGCCAGGCGTCCCTAATTTGCCTAGTTTAGATAATACTAGAACACTATGAATAATTTTCCATCTGAGTTTCAAATATCTACTTTTTTAAGCAGTTACTATGGATGGCACAGATACACTGGAAATGTAACTCAGACATAGGTGCCACAAAATCACCACGTAGTTGAAAGAGAATTGCAACATGGTTTTAGCACAATTCTGTGCCTCCCACAGTATCATCAACTAGAAATATTTATTGAGGTTTACATGAAAGATACCATGAAGGAAAAAAACAGAAAACAAACCTTACTTCTGGCCTCAATCTACTTTTACTTTTAGTTCAGGTATAGTTTACAAAGAATGCTAGGCTGTTTTATAATGTATCTTTCAAACCGGATTTTAATCTTAAAGTTTATTTTCATAATCTATCCTTTAAATACTACTAGATATCAATATTAGCTAGGAAGCAATTACTAAATAAATATTAAACCATATTTCCAATTTGTCAAGCCCTTGAGAATTATTGATCCATGCCATTCAAGTGATTACAATTATTTGAAAAGTTTGTAAAAGCAACAACTGGGAAAACAAGAATCAAAAACCATGTAATAATTACATGTCTCATTTATGCACTCTCAAAATTTTCTGAATTAAAATACTGGATCACAGGGGTGCCTGGCTGGTAGAGCACGTGACTCCTGATTTCAGGGTTGTGAGGTCAAACCCCAGAGTGGGAACAGAGTTGGCTAAATAAATAAATTTTTTAAGATAATAATGAAATTTAAAAATAAAATACTGGATCACAAACAACCAACATAAAGGAAAAAATATGTTAAGAAATCAGAGCTAAAACAGGGGCATCTGGGTAGCTCAGTTAGTTAAAGATCTCCCTTCGACTTGGGTCATGATCTCCGGGTCCTGGGATCAAGTCCCATGTCAGGTTCCCTTCTGAACGGGGAGTATGCTTTTCCCTCTCCCTCTGCTCCTCTACCCCACTTGTGCTCTCTGTCTCTCTCTCAAATAAATAAATAAAATACTAAAAAAAAAAAAAAAGAATCAGAGTTAAAACAAATATTAGAAACCCAACTAAGCTCTTAAAAAACTTAATCAGAGGTTAAGACTCAGCTATTGTACTTAAAATAATTTAGCAGATAGTCTTAAGTCACTTTGTCATTCTAACCCAACTCCATCATCTTCTTTTTCTCACCACCCTCTACTTTTTTCTTTTCTTAAACCATACCTAACATTTTAAATTCTTCAGTAACATTCAGCTGTTTATCTACAAAATTACCTGGAGGCTTGATTATTTAATTTGGTAGGTGTTGGATACCTAACAAGTTAGAGACAAAGATAAATAAAGAAAAAAGTATGTCATAAATTAAAATTCAGCAACAAATTACTTAACCTCTGACCACTGTGTGGATTATGGTTTTATAAGTCAGTAAAATATTATTAACTTGTAATACCATAAAAGTATAGCTGTCTAGCACATCTCCAAATAATTAGAGTTTGCTTCATATAGTAAGGAACCAGTACCAGCTCTTTATCTATGGTACCTCAAGAGGGAAATCCTTTATGCTGACGTCTACAAAAGATTGGCAGTAATGAGGATCCATGTAAATCAAACTGTCATCTACAAGGACAAAACAGAAGACAAGTAATTCAAAAAACACCTTATTATTACACTGCTTACAATCCAATTTCTATGTAGAATAGCTGAAAAAAACCTGGGAGTAACAGCTTGCCAGACTGATATTCATTGACTGAAACATAGGTTTGCACAGGACAGATTAACTTTTGCATAATCAAATATGCTTGTATAAGCAGAATTTTTATAAAGTGATGAGACTGTCATTTAATTTTTGGTGATAAAATTACTTTCACAAACACACAATTATATTCTACAGTTTGCATATGAAAAATGTATTGCACTACTTTAGCCTGACAGAAAGAACATATTGCTTGTCATTTTATCATCAACTAGCACCACTAAAACTGGTAAAAAGTAAATATGTAAATAGTAACTGCCAGAATGTGGCAGCAATGTCTTCTGAAGTTTATAGTGAAACCAATAAATTATGCCTGTTTATGCAATAACAGAAATTAAACATACATTTTACAGAATCCAATTATGTTGTGGACCAAATGACAAATGAGTGGCTATGGTAGGACTGATGAATTTATAAGGTACTCATTTTGCTGTTAATCATCCTGTTTCCAAATGATCCCAAATTAACTTTCCAACTTTTAAAAGAAAACAATAAAGAAATAAATTTTACTAAACCACTAACCTTGAAATCCAGCAAAGTAGTATGACTGCTTAGGTTTGCCACCAATAATACCCACACAATATTCAAGGCTTAAAATACCCTGCCAAAAGAAATTAATTCAGATTTAGACTCAAGAGGCAAATGATAATTATTGAAAACAATCAAATTCGTATTAGCAGTATTAACATGTATAGAAGTTCCGAGATTTTTTACCACCAGTTTTACTGTTATTACTACATATGCCTCCATATTTTAAAATCCTTTTATGTCCTGTACCATTTTCCATTTTCTTTAAATTACTCAACATTAACATGACTAAATCAACTATTCTGATCAGCATGACACTCAATGACATTAACTACTATATCCCAGATACAGAAATAAATAAGGTCATCTTATAAAGGCAATAAAACTCCTGCCAAAGCCAAAACACTTGGCCTTCGGTTAACTGGTTCAGCCTTATCATGATCAACGTAGTATTTTCATCAGGTTTTTTGAAATACTAGAAATAGTTCTTAGACCTTATTCCTGTTTTCACTGAACCTCAAGTCTTAGAATCGCAAACTACAAACCATTTTTCTAATCAACATTCACTTGACACATTTTTATGCTATTTCATAAATTTATTGCAATAAACATAAAGACAAATGAAAACAATTTAATCTGAGGCAAATAATAATTGCTATTGTACTTAAAGTCAATTTAATTTACTAATCATAAAATATCAAGCATACCTCAATAAATTATTTAGTGTGCCCCTCAGCATCTATTCTAAGTAGAATTCTATTTAAGCTGGGCCAAATAACTCTAAACCTTTTTTTAAAAAGATTATTTGTTTGTATTGATTAATTGATTGATTGATTGATTGACTGATTTAAGGGAAGAAGCAGAGGAGGAGGAAGAAGGAGAGAGAAAATCCCAAGCAGACTCTGAGTTCAGCACAGAGCCAGACGTGGGGCTTGATCTCACAATGCAGAGGTATGACCTGAGCTGAAACCAAGAACCCTGTACTCAACCAACTGAGCCACCCAGATGCCCCAATAATTCTATACCTTTTAAAAAAGATCCAGTTGAATTACATAAAGTCTTATCAATAGTTTAGTTTCTATTATGCATATATATGTATATTTAGAACATATTATCAAGTTAGAAAACACTAATAATCATATTTATATGATAAATATACATTATAAAACCCCAGAAATATTAAATAATAGTTAAATTTTCCTTCTCTTGGGCAGCCCTGGTGGCTCAGCGGTTTAACGCCGCCTTCGGCCCAGGGTGTGATCCTGGAGACCTGGGATCGAGTCCCGTGTTGGGCTCCCTGCATGGAGCCTGCTTCTCCCTCTGCCTCTCTCTCTCTCTCTGTGTCTCTCATAAATAAATAAATAAATAAAATCTTAAAAAAAAATTTCCTTCTCTTAAATGATAGGATGTTTTGTAATCTAGAAGATTAAAAATAAAAAGTATATAGGGCACCTGCGTGGCTCAGTTGGTTAAGCAGCCAACTCTTGGTTTCGGCTCAGCCCATAATCTTAGGGTTGTGACATGGAGCCCTACACTGGGCTCCACACTCAGCAGTGAGTCTGCTTCTGATTCTCTCTCTCTCCCTCTCCCTCTGCCCCTTCCACTGCTTGTTTTCTCTCTCTTAAAATAAATAAAGTATATGAACTAATGCTTTTTTCCCTTTAATAAGTAATCAAACCATGGAGCATTTTTTTTTTAATTAAAAAGATGTTCTTAAAAAGAATATGTGTTTGGAGGTGCCTGAGTGGCACAGTCAGTTAAACACCCAACTTTTTGTTTCCACTCAGGTTATGATCTCAAGGTTGTGAAATAGAGCCCCACATTAGACTTCATGCTCAGGACAGAGTCTGATTGAGAGTCTCTGTATCCCTCTCCCTCTTCCTCGGCCCCTCCCCGCCCAAGCATACACACACACTCTCTCTAAAATAAATGAATATATCTTTAAAAAATAATGATATGTGGTTATTACAAAAATATACATAGAATATATATTAAAAAGTAAAAATTGGGAGGACCTGCGTGGCTCAGTGCGTTAAGCATCCAACTCTTGATCTCAGCTCAGGTTTTGATCTCAGGGTCCTCAACTGAAGCCCTGAACTGGGTTCTAAACTTGGCATGGAGTCTATTTTTAAAAAGAAGTAAAATTTCCTGAGTGCCTGGGTGGCTCAGTCAGAAGAGCATGCAATCTCAGGGTCATCAATTCAAGCCCCATACTGGGTGCTGAGATTAAATAATTTTTTTTAAAAAAACTAACAACAAAAAATAAAAATAATAAAAATAAATTTAAAAACTAACAAGTTCTCAAAACCCCAACACTCAGAGCTCATCATTATTAATATTTGGGGAATACCTTCTTGAACTCAATCGATGTTAATTATATTCACATAGAGATTTAAGAATACAATTCTATGTATGTGGCATCACACTACCTATGCTGCTATAACTTTGGTCACTCATGTTGTAAACATATTTTTCTATCAATAAATATAGATCACTAGTATAATATTTAATGGCTGTAAAATATTCAATTTTATGAAAATAGCAAAATATACTCCAAAATCTCCATTATGAATAGTTGTTTCCAGGTCCTCACTGTTCCAAATAACTCTTTAGAGCAAAAAATAACTATAGATTTTCAGTCATGTGAAAATATCATAGAGGGTTTTTTTGGAAAGGAGAACTGCAACTAAAAAAGTTAAATAAAACAAAGAAGGCATATTATAAGTTAAAATTTTAGAGCTAACAGGGATGCCCAGATGGCTCAGTAGCTGAGTGTCTGCCTTTGGCTCCGGGCATAGTCCCGGAGTCCTGGGACCGAGTCCTACATCAGGCTCCCCTCGGGGAGCTTGCTTCTCCCTCTGCCTATGTCTCTGCCTCTCTCTCTCTCTCTCTCTCTCTCTCTCTCACACACACACATGAATAAATAAAATCTTTAAAAAAAATTTTTAGAGGGCAGCCCGGGTGGCTCAGCAGTTTAGCGCCTGCCTTCGGCCCAGGGTGTGATCCTGGAGACCGGGGATCGAGTCCCACATCAGGCTCCCAGCATGGAGGCTGCTTCTCCCTCTGCCTGTGTCTCTGACTCTCTCTCTCTCTCTTTCTCAAGAATAAATAAATAAAACCTTTAAAAAAATTTTAGAGCTAACAAATTAAGATGAAATTATACACAAAATAAATAAATGTTATTATTCAATTTTTATTATTATTCCATTAAGTCTATTATTCTATTCCTTTCCCTTCAAATAAAAATATTTTGTTCAAGAGTGCCTTACTTCAACCTGAGGCAATCTGACCAGCTGACACGCAAGGTTTCTGACAGAGAAAGCCATGAAGAAGTGAAAGTTCTAAGTCTCTCATAGCCAAAAAAAGAAAAAAATATATATAGCAAGAATCATCAGTGATTCTCCTCAGCAAAAAAGAAATGACTCCAAGTAATAGAATAAAGACTTTGGTTCCTGACATCTGTATTTCCTTTGCAACAGACTAGAGCAGATTTAGCAATAAACACTTAGAAGCAGATTAGGAACTAGAATGCCATTACATATAAGAGACTGTATCTTTGGAAAACTGAAACATTTTTCAGTTCCTAAAAAAGCTTCTTCACAGTTATCTAGTAGTGAGAATTTATTGAGCTGTACCCACGAAGCAATAAATAAGACTGAAGTAATCAGTCAAAAAGAAAAGTCCTAATTTGTCTTGCTGGAGAAGGAGAACATATTAGATTTTCCCCATTCCAGGTCCTTTAAAATATAAATAAATAAATAAATAAATAAATAAATAAATAAATAAACAAACAAATAAACAAATAAATAAATAAACTTTTTGAGCTAAGAGCTGATAAAGCACCAACCTCACCAAATTTCTTTCTCCTCACAGAATCTAACAGGGGATGGTACCATCTCTGAAAGATTGGAATTACCTTGATTAATAAATTTGAAAAATAGAACTGAGTGGTGAATTTTAGAGGGTACAATGCACAGTGGTTTGGCAGGAATAAAATACAACTGCTGACAATGAAGGAGGAGGAAGTGGAGGGAAAGGGCAAGATGGAGTGGGAAGGGTGGAATGTGGTGGAGGTAGAAGGGGCAGTGGAGGAGGTGAAAAAAGCGAAAGGAGAAAAAACGAGTAAGAAGCAGCAGAAGAGGAAAAAGATTATTCCTCTTTTAGGATTATTAGACACTATTTTTTCACTTCTAAGTGAATGCCTCTTTACAAGTTATCATTTTGGCATTTGACCCAACCACCCCCAAGCAAACATAACACATCGTAATTAATCCACAGACATTTCAATCATTTTTTGCTGATAATTGAAAATTTTAAATGTATAAATTAATCTGGTAAAAAGACTTTTACATTTTTAAAAGTTCATATTTTAGGAGCACCTGGGTAGCTCAGTTGGTTGAGCATCCAACTCTTGATTTCAGCTCAGGTCATGATCTCAGGGTCGTGAGCTTGAGTCAGGCTCTATGCTCAGTAGGGAGTCTGCTTGAGATTCTCTTTCTCCCTCTGCCCCTCCCCCCACTCATGCTCTCTAAATAAATAAATAAAAATTAAAAAAATAAAAGTCCAAATTTTAGGGAAAAATATCAAAATAACAAAAATATTGGTCTGTTACCAGTTTGCTGTCTGAACTTAAACTTACCACTTAACATCTGCCTTTTCTGTTTTGTAAAGATAGTTCCTAGCTGTTGTGAAAGCAAAATGAGATATATCTGTATTAAAAGTGTTATACAAATATGAGAGTTAACAAGTATTTGTTGAGCAACTCCTACATGCTGCGTACTGAGGATCACTTTAACAGCTAATCACAGTTTGTTTCACTACACTTTGGCCTCCAATGAAATATTCAAGAGCATAAGGCAATCCTACCATCTGATAAAAAATATTAATACACCAAGTAGCAAAGCCTTCAGCTAGATGCAATATACCTTGAAGCCATCTGCAGCCTGTTTCATCAGAAATGGGAGTTTGACTAAAGAAGTCAGTTCCAAGATTGTCTCAGTTTCTAATCTTTTCATGGTTATATAAAAGGCAGAGGGAATCCAGTTTGGACCTGATTACAACCTACTGAGACATGGCCACATGCCAAGTTCCAAAACCCTCAATGGACTCACTAGATGAAATGGATCATAACTTCCTACATTCTACCATTAACTTTACTAACGAGCTAGACGTTAGAAATCAAAACCTCACTTCTCGGTGCACCTAGGTAGCTTAGTCAGGTGTCTGCCTTTGGCTCAGGTCATGATCTCAGGGTCCTGGGATCAAGCCCCATGCGCTTCTCCTCTCCCTCTGCTGTTCCCCATGCATGTGCATGCTCACTCACTCTCTCTCTTTCTCTGTCAAATAAATAAAATCTAAAAAAAACAAACAAACAAACAAAAAAAAACACTTCTATGTAGGGGATTCATGTTATCAATATATTATAGTATTAGTATTATTAGTAACATGTATGCCCACAGAATTTTAATAACTATTATGAAAAGTCAAACCTGCTACCAAACATCCATATCCCATGTACGTAAAACAGCTGCTCTAGATTTTTAGAAATAATACAGTCTACAGTGAGAATATATGTTCCACCCCATATATACAAGGACTGTGAAGCTTCATGTAAGGGACAACTGTTACTGAAACATAAAAGACAAATTTCAAGATTACTATATGCCATAACACTCTATTCAGAGAGGAATTCTGTCTCTGGCCTTGAAAAGATGAGAAATTTTACTAAAACTAAGAAAGTAATATAAATCCTATAAGCTTAACCAAAACTAAGTATTTCAAAAGTTTTGTGCAAAAAGCAGAATCAGACCTATAAATACAGAGAGAAGGGAGGTGGGGAAGAGGGACAAAACGGGTTAAGGGGAAATGGAGATACAGGTTTCTAGGTATGGAATGAATAAGTCACAGTCATAAAAGGCATAGCATAGGGAATATAGTCAGTGATACTGTAAGAGCGTTGTATGGTGACAGATGGTAGCCACCCTTGTGGTGAGCACATCATGATATATAGAGAAGTTGAGTCACTATGTGGCGCACCTGAAACTAATATAACATTGTCTGTCAACTACACTCAAGTAAAAAAAAAAAAAAAAAGTTAAGTTTTGTGACAACTGAATACTTTGGTGCCCAAAACAAGGTAACATAATTAGACAAATTCATCTGGAAAAAAGAATTGTGTGTTCTCAATTAGAACAGATTTTTAACTGGTTAATATAAAGAAAACCAAGACGGAACCTTCCCCATACTATCTTCATCATTTCTATCTAAATAAATAGTCATCCCACTTATTGACTTTATAGTGGCACAGGAAACAAATTAAGAGGTAATACAGCAGTAATAGAAAACTCAGTTTATTCCAATTATTATCTCAAAATAGTTTAATATGGGTTTTATAAATAAACAAAGGTACATATTTTTAACAATCATAAATAGGGATAATGGGAACTGTAGACATAGTACAGATTATAATTATTGCTACATCTGTGTCTCCTTGGTTAGTTACAAAAAAATTAAAAGGCTGTTTACTTGGTCATAGAACACCATACTCTTCAAATCACATTTGATCTTGCAATACTGAAATTTTAATCTCTAATATCAAGCTTTATAATCTGCAACTATAAAATCATCCCTATCCATTTCATAGAAAAAAAGACTGCAAACCTATATTTTTCATTTTAGCTAGCATTGCCTTAAAAAAATTAGTTATTTCATACCTTTACAAAATCTAAGTAGTCGGTGTTGGTTCTTTCCCCACCAAGTCTAACAGGGATTAGAATAATAACAGCTTTGTCATCTGTATTATCAGAGGCCATGGAAGTGCATTGTTTATCAATTACATCAGAACTGTAAACTGAGAAAAATATAATGAGTATGTTTATTAAATTTTCTAAAAATGATTTTCAGAAACATTTTTATTTCAGTCCCTCCTTCCCACTGGCCAGTCATCTAATCTCTAATATCACTATCAAGGTCTCAATGAGTTAAAAAAAAAAAAATCTCTACCTCACTTATACATTCAGCAGATACTTACTGAATATCAACTATATAGCAATAAGGGCTTCACAAGTGAGAAAAAGAAAGGAAAAACCCTGCCTTCATAGATTATATACTCTAATATGAGGAAATAGGAAACAAATAAAATACATGTCAGATGGTGATGGGTGCTTTGAACAAAAACAAAGGGAGAAAGATGGATAGGAAAAATGGGCATGGCAGAGGATGGAGGTGAAAATAAGGTGGTAAGGAAGACCTTACGAAAAATATAACATTTAAGTCAAGACAAAGTAAGAAACCAAGAAATGCCAATACTTGGAAGAGCATTCCAGGTATAAAGATCAGTAGATATAAAGATCAGTCAATGCAAATGCCTTAAGGCAGAAGCATAGCCAGCATATTCCAGGAACAAAAGGCCTGTGTCTCTGTGGAGGCAAGTCAGCAATGAGTAAAATAATAGGAAATAAGGTTAGGAGATAAAATAAAATGTTGGGGGAGAATGAAGACAGATTGCATGAATTCCTTTTTTTTTTTTTTAAGATTTTATTTATTTATTTACTTGAGAGAGCAGAGCGAGTGAGAGAGAGCAAGAGCTGGGATGCGGGACAAGCAGACTCCCCACTAAGCAGAGAGCCCAATGTGGGGCTCAATCGCAAGATCTTGGGATCATGAAATGAGCTGAAGGCAGACACTTAACCTGCTGAGCCACCCACATACCCCAGACTGTGTGAACTCGTAAAGGCCATTGTAAAGACTACAATTTTTACTTTGAGTGAGAAAGCATGCTATTGAGGACATTTTTAGAGAAGGAATGTCCTAATTTGACTTATCCTTTACTAGTATGGTTCCTATGTTGATAACAGACTGTAGGGGCAAGGGATGAAGCACATAAAACAGTTAGAAAACAGGGCACCTGGGCAGCCTGGGTGGCTCAGCGGTTTAGCGCCGCCTTCAGCCCAGGGCCTGATCCTGGAGACCTGGGATCGAGTCCCACATCAGGCTCCCTGCATGGAGCCTGCTTCTCCCTCTGCCTGTGTCTTTGCTTCTCCCCCACCCCACCTCTGTCTCTCATGAATAAATAAATAAAATCTTTTTTAAAAAAAGAAAACAGGGTGCCTGAGTGGCTCAATCAGTTAATCACCCAACTCTTGATTTCGGCTCAGAGTTGTGAGATCAAGCCCTGCATGGGAGTTCTTTGCTCAGTAGGAAGTCTGCTTGAGGTTCTCTCTCTTCCTCCCCCTGCTCATGCTTGCATGCTCTCTCTCTCTCAAATAAATAATTCTTTAAAAAAAATAGAAAAGAAAAAGAAAGTAACCACAGTAATTTAACAAGAAATGATATTGGCTCAAACAAAGGCAGTAATTGTGAAGATAGGGAACAGTCATAGAATGGTCATGTGGAGCTGGTTAAAAGTGATCGGTAAAAAAAAAAATAAAATAAAAAAGTGGTAAGTTAAAGAACTCCTTAATAGGGGATCCCTGGGTGGCTCAGTGGTTTAGCGCCTGCCTTTGGCCCAGGGAGCGATCCTGAAGTCCCACAATCAAGTCCCACATCGGGCTCCCTGCATGGAGCCTGCTTCTACCTCTGCCTGTGTCTCTGCCTCTCTCTCTCTGTGTCTCTCATGAATAAATAAATAAAATCTTTAGGGGAGGGGGAAAAAAAGAACTCCTTAATATGTTAAATGCGAGATGGGAGAGGGGAAAAAAAGGAGTCATAGGTGATGTGAATGGTTTTGGTTTAAGTAAACAGAGTAAGAGACATACCATTTACAAAGACATCCTATAGACAACTATAGGAGGGGAAAGAATAGGAAAATCAGGAATTCAATTCTAGACGTGCTAAGTTTCAGATATCTATTAAACATGCAGGCAGGTAGGCTAAGTATGCAGTATGGATATAAAAGTCTGGATTTGGTTGAAAGATCCTATAAATTTAGGAGTTGACAGCATATAGATAGTCCTGTAAAGCCATGAGACCAGGTGAATTCAAATCTGTGTACAAGAGATGAGGTCTAAAAGCTGAATAGAATTTTAGAGATCAGCGAGATAAGGAAAACCAGCAAAGAAGACAGTGAAGGAGTGGAGAAGGTAGAAGGAAAACCTGAAAAGTAGCATTCTAGAAACAAAGTAAACAAAACGTTACACGGAGGAAAAAGGGGTCAACTGTGTCAAATGCTGCTGGTAGATTATGTGATGTGAGGACTGAGAAGTGACCACCAGATTTTTAGCAGGATTAAATTATTGAGAAGAGCAGTTTGAGTAGAGTGATGGATGTGACAGCCTAAGTCAAATAGTTTGAAAGAAAAGGGGAGGATTTTGTAGAACCAAATATAAACAAAACTTTGTTTTGTTCAACAACAACAAAAAAACTTTCTTCAAACTCCCTGTTGGAAGAAAACCAAACTTCTGCTCTTATACAGTTAACTGATTAATAAATTATGCTACTTGCACCCCACTTCCTCCCTTTAAATTCCAAATTTAGGATATGGCTATCAAATTTTTCTGTTCAGCAGCTTCCCTATCTCCCATAGTCAATCTAAACCAAAGGTACAAAAATGCAACAACAGTTCTTTCCATGTTTCAATTCTATAACTTTACTTTTTCCAAAATACTCTGTAACAGCTTCTAATTTATAAATCTTTAAATTCTCTAATTTTTCTGAGGCAGTGCACACATGATCATCCCTACCTCTGACTCTTCTGAACTAATTATACCTTAATCAAATGAGCTTTCCCTTTAGAGAAAAGATTGCTGGTTTCTAGGTGGGAAGGAGGGTGACGTGGGTAAAGGGGGTAAAAAGGTATAAGCTTCCAGCCACAAAATTAATAAGTCATGGGGATGTAATTTACAGCATGAGGACTACAGTTCATAATATCATGTTATTATATTTAAAAGTTGCTAAGAGGGGTACCTGGGTGGCTCAGTTGGTTGGGTGTCTGCCTTCAGCTCAGGTCTTAGGTAGTAACCGGGATTCTGGAATCAAGCCCCATGTCAGCTCCCTGCTCTTCCCAGAGTCTGCTTGTCCTTGTCCCCCTCTCCTTCTCCGTCTCCCCCCTCCCCTGTTCGTGCACTCTCTCTTTCTCTCTCAAATAAATAAATATTTTTTAAAAAGATGCTAAGAGAGTTAAATATTTTTTTTAAAATCTTTTAAGTTGCTTAAAAGATTTTATCACAAGAAAAAGAATTTTGTGCCTGTATGGTGACAGATGTTAATTAGACCTACTGTGGTGATCATTTCACAATATACACAAATATTCAGTCATTATGTTGTGCATCTGAACTAATATAATGTTCCATGTCAATTATATCTAAATAAAAAGGTATGACCAAAAAATCAGATAAAAATTAGAATTATATACATTCCTTACCTGTACAATCCTGTGCAACATAAATAGTTATTCCTTGTAAATCAGGGTGTCTTGCTTCTTCAACTGCTTTTCTAAAAAAATAACATGTATCATCCTTTAAAAGCCTAACAGTTCCAGTTAATAATTAAAGTTTTAAAGGAAAGAAAGCCATCTTTTTTTTTTTTTTACTTTCCTATTTAACCTATAATGTCTGCTTTCAAAACTATTTTCTGAATGGTATCAAAAACCACGTGAATCCCTTCTAAGTAGAGTATTATACTAAATTACTCAAAGAACATTAAAGTATAAGTTACATGGACACCTGGGGTAGCTCAATCGGTTAAGCATCTGCCTTCAGCTCAGGTCATGATCCTAAGGTTCTGGGACAGAACGCACACACATCAGGCTTCCTGCTCAGCAGGGAGCCTGCTTCTCCTGCTCCCTCTGCCCACTGCTTCCCCTGTTTGTGCACTCTCTCTCTGTCAAATAAAATCTTTAAAGGGGATCCCTGGGTGGCTCAGGGGTTTGGTGCCTGCCTTTGGCCCAGGGCATGATCCTGGGGTCCCAGGATCGAGTCCCACGTCGGGCTCCTTGCATGGAGCCTGCTTCTCCCTCTGCCTGTGTCTCTGCCTCTCTCTCTCTCTCTCTCTCTGTGTCTCTCATGAATAAATCAATAAAATATTTTTAAAATAATTTAAAAAACATAAGTTACAAAAGTTATAAAAAAAAATTCTTGAGTATAAAGCTTTAAACCCTGCCCTCCAAAAAAGGATTTCTCTCAACCACTCACCTGGCTATATTAAACATTTCTAACCAGCAGTATTACCATATGCTTCAAGTTTTACATCAAATTAGTTTACATTACTAACAGTGAATTATTGTCCTCTGCTACATTTATGAAAGTTTTTGCTTTTCTTTAAATAATAGCATGACTTTTGGGGCACCTGAGTGGCTCAGTTGGTTAAGCCTTGTACTCAATTTTAGCTCAGGTAATGATAGCAGGGTTGTGAGATGAAGCTGAGGGACATTCTCTTTACTCAGCAGGGAGTCTGCTGGAGATTCTTTCTCTCCCTCTCCTTCTGCCCCTCCTCACCATGAGTGCATGTGTGCATGTGCACTCTCTCTCAAATAAATAAATAAATCTTTAAAATAAATTAATAAATAATAGCATGACTTCTTTTTCCTTCATTCAAAAACCTGTATAACCTGAACAAATGAATTTCCTAACTTTAAGGCTTAGAATTCTATAAGTAAAACTGCAAACTGAAAAATATTTCTGAGTATAATGTTCTCAATGGTGCACATGATTTGTAAATAGTCACAATAACATCTATAAAAGGAAATTACACAAATGGAATAGAAATATTTTTATTTAACTTCGTAATTTTTTAACTTCACATGACTTGTTATTTATGTTTGTATGTGTTACTTTAGAAGAGGGATTGGCAAAGTATGGCCCATAGGCCAAATACAACATGTGGCCTGTTTTTGTACAACCTGCAAACTAAGAACGGTTTTTACAGTTTTGAAGGGTTGTAAAACAAAAAAGAAAAGAAAAGAAAAATGGGCAACAGAGCCCTTTATTTACCATAAGGCCTTTTACAGAAAAAGTGCTCTGATCCCTGGAGTACAGAACATAATATCTTCCAGAGTAGAAACTAAGCTTTTATAATTATGCTTTTATACATCATACCAAGCAGGACTTGATATTACTAACAAAACATGGGACACCTAGGTGGCTCAGTCAGTTAAGTGTCTGTCTTTGGCTGAGATCATGATCCCAGGGTCCTGGGATTGAGCTCCGTGTCTGGCTCCCTGCTCAGTGAGGAGTCTGCTTCTTCCTCTGCCACCTTTCCCTACTAATGCTCACTCTGTCTCTCTCTCTCTCAAATAAATAAATAAATCTTTAAAAAAAAAAAACAAAAAAAGCAATCCATTTAACAACATTAGGTAAATACATTTCCATTTGTAAGCATCTGGCCTATACAATATTAAAGCCTATTTATATGCAAAAAATCTTATAATAATTTCCAATTTATATGATTTTAAATGTAATAAACTTATTATAACACGCTATATTTGGATGGCATATTAATGATTCCATACACAACATGGGTCACACTACAAATAAGACAATTTTTTTTAATTAAGCAGTATCATAAAAGGCTGAGGTATAGTGAAATTTGACTTTCAACTTTTTTCTAAGTACTCTGAATGTCACAGACCCTTTACTTTTACTATGATATAATTATAATATTAATAGTCCCATACATTTACAATTCACAAGAATTTGATGTGTGCAAAGAAATGCTGAAAACATCAATTTTAGCTCTTGACATTTCATTACACTATCAGTACATTACAGCCCCCAGGTTACACTATTAAAAAAAAAAAAAACTATAATGTTATGCATGCTCCAAGGTTGAAAGAGTTGTTAGTTTTTAGAACATTCCGATAAGAGACACTGAATATCTATACCTATGAACAAAAGAGGAAAAATTTGTCATAGATAAATGTAACCAGAGTGCAATGTCTTGTTTTTTCCTTATTAGCAAATGAAAGCTTCCTTATAAATATACTCAAACAATAAGACTTGAAAAGTTCCATTTATATGTATGCACTGCAAAAAACAGTATCTCTGAGCCTAAGGACCTCTGTCATAAGATAAAAGAGTTTAATACAATTTTACCTTAAGATGTGAGCAACCACAGCTGGTCCATACCAATCTCCGGCTTTTTTCCCAGACTTCTTTCCATATTTTATTAGTTGATGTAAACCAAAGAGAGCCAAAGGGGAATCACCAAACCAAGAGATGATTTTCCTGTGATAAATTTCATTTCGCATTTCACGATCATCAGAATGTCTCCTGATTGTTTCCTTCTGAGAAACTGTAGGGGTTTTGAGTTCACTTTCCCCTGAAAGTGATGCTTCAAATGATGCAGTAAATTTTTTAACAGTGTTGGAAGTCCATGAGTCAGAGTCTGAATTTTCAACGTTCAAAGCATCAGGCCAGGTCCAAGCTATAATAGTTCCAAAGCAAGGTTTCAGATCTTTTAAATAGTTAGATTTTAACAATTCTACTAAAATAGATAGCATTTAAAGTCATATAGATTATTAAACTAAAATAGTAAACTCAGAAGCAGCAAATTTCTAGAGACAAAAGGTAGATTAATGGTTGCATATGGCAAGCAGGGTATTGGGAGTGACTACCAAAGGGTATGAGGTTTCTTTGTGGAATGATAAAAATGTCCTAGAGTTAGGTTATGGTGATGGTTCCGAACCCTGGAAAAATACCAAAAACCACTAAATTGTTCACTCTAAGTAACTAAATTATGTCATGTGAATTATAAAGCTGCCTTAAAAAAACCCCAAAAAACAATTAAAGGTATGAGCACAGAAAATATAGTAAAATATCAATAATGTTTACTTTTGAGTGGTAATATTATTCTCTGGAATTTTCTGTTGTTTCCAAATTTTCTAAAATGGGATTATAAAAAAAAATAAAAAATAATAATAAAATGGGATTATATTACATATGATCAAGAAAAAAATAACCAAAATGAAAAAGAAAAAAATGGTAAACTCAAGTACAAATAAACAATTCTGGAAAATGCTTTTCTTTTTTCTCTTTTCTTTGACAGTGCTGAAATCGAATGAGGACTTTTGTACTCCCTTACCAGTAATGCTTATCAGACATCCAGTCTTGACTACAATTTACATAATGACTAACACTAATGAGAGAATAACTTCATAATGTGGATTTTGTTTTGATTATATGTTAAAATAGAAGTCTAACCACAGAAGTTTTAATTTTCTTTGTTTTTCTCTCAAACAATCCTTTCAAAATAACTCAATTACTGTTTAGGGAGTAATATCAATTCTCTAGTAAATGAAAAGTTAATAAATAGAAGTCATTAAAGATCAAAGATCCCACCAAAACCAACTATATTCACTACTTCAGTTTTTATGATAAGATAGTTCCAAGCATCCATGTAATTTTAACAAAATGAGTCACAGATTCAGAGAACTCGTTAGGACTTCGAAAATTATCCCAATTCTTGTCCATGATTGCACAAAACTACAAATAAACCATCTTAGAGAAAGTTTAATTTTTTTTCTTTATATTATCTGTATCACTCTTGAATAAACATTCTCTCTAAATAATTTCATCAATAATACCTACAGAAAGGTTATCAGATATTTGCCATGCCATGCATGTCTAACACTTTAAAAATATGATAATGCTTAGTAATAACCATATATGATAGCCTAAAATAGTAAACTAAAATCTTCCTACAAATGTACAAATTATAAAAAATGGACTAATAGAAATGGTAAGAGTTTTTCTTTTTTAAAAAGATATATGTAAAAAGATATATGAAAGAAGAATCAATTACATTTTTGGGAATCTAGGAACATAATGACCTTATTATGAATATGCCTAGTCAATTTAACTGATTATAATCATATTTGCAAACATAAAAATATTTTAAAGCATTATTGATATGTAGAGAGAAAATAAAGAAACCAGTTTAAATTTCTTAAGACTTAAATAATGTAAAAACATCAACTAACTGCTCAAAGTCATTGTTGTTGACTGCTCAAGATTTATTGAACTGGGGCAGCCTGGGTGGCTCAGTGGTTTAGCGCTGCCTTCAGCCCAGGGCCTGATCCTGGAGACCCAGGACTGAGTCCCCCCTTGGGCTCCCTACATGGAGCCTGTTTCTCCCTCTGCCTGTGTCTCTGCCTCTCTTTCTGCCTCTCTCTCTCTCTCTCTCTCTGTGTGTGTGTCTCTCATGAATAAATAAATAAAATATTTTTTAAAAAAAGATTTATTGAACTTGAGATAATCCAGAGAAGTCAATCAAAAAGAACTAAATAATAACACCAAAAAAATCCAAAGGCTACTAAAAAATTGTACTTACATATAAGTCATACCTAGCCTACTTCAATAAAGTTAGAATATGCTAGATTAATTACAACTTTCAGAAGACATCAGGAAGTCAAGAAATTAACCATAGAAAATATCTGGAGTTAAAGCAAACAAAGAGGCACCTGCGTGGCTCAATCGGTTAAGCCTCTGACTTGATTTTGGCTCTGGTCATAATCTCAGGGTTTGAGGATCAAGCCCCACATCAGGCTCTGCACTGGGCATGGAGCCAGCTCAAGATTCTCTCTTTCTTTCTTCTTCTGCCCCTCCTCCCCAAACAAAAAACAAAAAAAAACCACAACCCCTCCACCAACAAACAGAGATTTAATTTACCTCTACCAAGAAAGTGCAGTATGAGTCCCTGAGCCAGTAGCATCTGGCCAGTTCTTAATGTGCAGCCCCAACCACAGTCTGTAGTGAAGGCCGAGCCTTCTATTTGAGGAAATTCTTCCCTGTAGGTCAACCATATTCTTGAAATAAAATCTTTACGAAATTCTTCTACATTTCCCGCAATTACATGATCTTCTATTGTACATCCTGATCTTGCAGGTAACAGTTTATTTTCATCTACAAAATAAAAATATGAACTATAGTCTAAATATATGCAAAGAAACTTCAATAATGCTATTATGTCCCCATCACTGTCCATCAGATATGGAGTCTATTACAGTTTTTCTGATACTTTTTCTCAGTTTCAACGAAGATATATATTATTCTGCCTCATCAGACTGTTAGGAAAATCAAATGAGAATGGATGCGGAAATGTTTTGTACGCTCTTAAGCTAGCTAATAAAAGGTGTCATCAGGGCAGCCCGGGGGGGGGGGGGGCTCAGCAGTTTAGTGCTGGCTTCGGCCCAAGGTGTGATCCTGGGGTCGCGGGATCGAGTCCCGCGTCTGGCTCCCTGCATGGAGCCTGCTTCTCCCTCTGCCTGTGTCTCTGCCTTTCTCTCTCTCTCTCTCTCTCTGTCTCTGATGAATAAATAAATAAAATATTTAAGAAAAAAAAAGGTATCATCAGTAATACTGTTAATAATATCCTATATTCCAAATATAATCAACTCTTTTATGAGGGGTTAATATAAAAATACCTTTTCCTTTTGCCTCATTTGGCTCAGGATATACATATTAGTGCTCTCTAAAATGAGATCTGGGGATCCCTGGGTGGCGCAGCGGTTTGGCGCCTGCCTTTGGCCCGGGGCGCGATCCTGGAGACCCGGGATCGAATCCCGCGTCGGGCTCCCGGTGCATGGAGCCTGCTTCTCCCTCTGCCTGTGTCTCTGCCTCTCTCTCTCTCTCTCTCTCTCTCTCTCTCTGTGTGACTACCATAAATAAATAAAAAATTAAAAAAAAATAAATAAATAAAATGAGATCTGCAAATAAAATATCATGATTTGTCAATATGTAAAGATGAATGTAATCATATAAACTAGTTCTAAAGATCAAATAAAATGTGCACATTGTATTTATTATCATGAATATTTATACTCAAGTTATAAAATCAAAACTAATAAGCTAAAGAGTAAAATATGAAATTCTAAAATATAGTTATCCTTTCACGTTGAAATAAAATTTTCTATTTTTTTTGAAATAAAATTTTTTAAAAACTGCTCCTATCCACGTGTCTTTTTTTTAGAATTTATTTATTTATTTATTTAAGAGAGAGAAAGCGCGCACCAGTGGTGGGAGGGGCAGAGACAGCGGGAGAAGCAGGCTCTCTCCTGAGAAGGGAGCTCCACATGGGGCTGCATACCAGAACCTGAGCCATAGGCAGATGCTTAACCACCCAGGTGCTCCCACATTTTTCATTTCAAGAAGCTTTTCCAAATTTATTATCTGTAGTACAGTTTCTATGGGAAAACTATGGTCACTATTTGCCCAATAACAAAACATGAGGGCTCAAATGAACTAACATTCCTTGATTACTCTCTCAAAATGAACTGACATTACTTGATTACTCCTAAAGGGAATATCTTAGAAACCTTTACAACCTCAGCATGCAGCACAGTGCCTAACACAAGTAGATCCTAATAAATGTTTCTTGTTTTGGGTGGCTGGACAGGTGGATAGATAAATCTGCCTATAACTCTCAATTCCAAGGAGTTCTATTTCCACTATCCTTCTGCAGGATGTTAAAGCAATTTTATCATGCTTTTATTCTTTATCCTTCCTGCAACTATCCTTCTTCAAGCTCATTCTGAAAAAATTACAATCACCTAAACTTCATAATATTCAGCTTAATGGAGCTAACTTGTGGCATACAGTTTCAATGACAATACAAAGAATGACTGCCAAGCTCCCATTATCAATGAGTCTCTCTCAATATTTAAAGTAATTACAAATAAAAATGCCTAGAAATTGAACATGGCCCTACAAATATGTACAAAATGTAAATAAATATAAGATTCTTTTTAAAAAGATTTTATTAATTTATTGGATAGAGAGAGAAAGTATGCACACAGGTGAGCACCAGCGTGGGGAGAGACAGAGGGAGAAGGAGAAGTAGACTCCCTACTGAGCAGGGAGCCCGACTTGGGGCTCCCAGGACTCTGGGAGTATGACCTGAGCCGAAGGCAGGCACTTAACCAACTGAGCCCCCCAGGTGCCCCATTAAGTGTAAGATTCTTAAATTTGATAATTTGCCTATCATTTCATTTCTACTAATATTAGGACACATTTGCAAAAATTATTTTAACTAGGCTAAATCTGGCATCTTTCAAGCTTTTAAATTTATCTTTCTACCTTTCCTGAGCTACAAACTCTTCACTTTATATAATTCTTCCTTCCCGGTGTAAGATATTATGTTGTGCATTGTTTTTCTGTTTGTTCGTTTTTAAATAGTTTATTGATTTATTCATGAAAGACACAGAGAGAGAGAGAGAGAGAGGCAGAGACACAGGCAGAGGGAGGAGCAGGCTCCATGCAGGGAGCCCGAAGTGGGACTCCATCCTGGGTCTCCAGGATCACACCCTGGGCTAAACTGCTGAGCCATCAGGGCTGCCCATGTTGTGCATTGCTATGTCAATATTTGTAGTACAGGGGCTCCTGGGTAGCTCAGGCAATTAAGCCTCTGCTTTCGACTCAGGTCATGATCTCAGCATCCTGGGATCGGCCTGCTCAGGGCTCCCCGCTCAGTGGGGAGCTTGCTTCTCCCTCTCCTTCTGCCCCTCCTCCCTGCTCATGCTCTATTTCTAATTAATAAATAAAATATACTACAAACAATATTTATATTATATAAATCCAAGTGGTCCTGCCAGGTAGTATTATCTTGACCAAATATCAAAATTTAATTTTACAGGTTATCTGTGTGAGAAGCAATTGAGGATTTTATCTCATTCTAAGTAAGCTTAATCTTTTCACAGATACCATGTCCCTATCTGCTAGGATTTTTCTAGGTTTTCTCTGAGATGATTCAAGACATGATAGGCCCAGAAACTTTTAGGGAAAAATGTAATTTGAGGCTATCTCTAACATACCAATTCTATCATAGGGGCCAAAATGATTTAACTGTAAATTGAACAAAGATAAGGATCTCTCCCTAATTTTTGAGCTGAGGAATATCTACAGACAATCAGTTTAGCCTTAAGAATGAAAATAGTAAAAAAAAAAAAGAATGAAAATAGTACATGGACAAAAGGGAAAAAGGAACTTTTTTAAAAAGTAGAGAGTAAAAAACTTTTACTAAAAGTAAAAGGCTAGAAAATAAAAGCTTTTTCTTAACTAAAACCATCTCAGAGATGGACTTTTGCCTAGGGATCTCTTTGTAGAACATTAGAAAAGGCATTAAAGTAAGATATCAAGTGATCTTATTCTGTGTGCCATTGCTTTTTGTACCCTGTCTACTGTTTTTGGGGATCAGTGTTGCTCTAGATTTTGCCAGAGTTATGCCCAAATGTTGTGGAAATAATATACCAGAATTTGGAATTTTTTGAATCACAACTTTTATTTAAAAATGGCATGCACGAAGAAATGAGGACTTACACAGAGCTCTATCACTTAATTTCCAGAAATCTGAACACTTTTTAGATCTCATTCTGTTGGGGCACCTGGGTGGCTCAGTCAGTTAAGCATCTGCCTTCTGCTTGGGTTGTGATCTTGGGGTCCTAGGATCGAGCCCCACATCGAGCAACCAGATAAGCGGGAAGTCTGCTTCTCCCTCTCCCTCTACTCCTCCCCCGATCATGCTCTCTTTCTCTCTCAGATAAATAAATACACACACACACACACACACACACACACACACACACACATATATAATCTCATTCTATTACTGATTGATATTTAAAGTATTTTGTCTGACTACAATGGAATTGAATTAAAAATCAATAAATAATGCAAGAAAACACTACAGACACTGTTGTCTATACTGTTTAGTTTTTCAAAATGTTGAAAAACTAAAAACAAACCAAATGCTCATCAATAATTGAATGATTTGTGGTAATTCATATAGTGGAATATTATGCAGCAATAAAAATAAAACTAGAACTACTGTAACAACATGGACAGTTCTTAAAAATACAACCTTGAAAGTCATAAGGAAGTAACAGAAACAAAATATAGTTTGATTCCATTCTCAAAAAGATCAGAAACAGGACATTCAAAATCACCGGTGACATTGCAATAGCAGGATTTTTTGGCATAGGAGGGCTATAATTGGGTAGAATAAGCATACAGAGATTAAAAATTACTCAAATACCATACGATTTCACTCACATGTGGAATCTAAGAAACAAAACAAATGAACAAAGAAAAAAGAGACCAAAAAAACAGACTTAGTTATAGAAAACAAACTGGTGGTTACCTTAGGGAGGTGGGTAGGTGATGGGTGAAATATGTTAAGGAGATCAAGAATACACTTACTGTGATGTGCACAGAGCAATTATCAATGGATAGAATTACTGAGTTATCATATTATACACCTTAAACTAATATAACACTGTATGTTAACTATACTTGAATTAAAAGTTAAATAAAGGGCAGCCCAGGTGGCTCAGCGGTTTAGGCACCGCCTTCAGCCCAGGGTGTGATCCCGGAGACCTGGGATCGAGTCCCACGTTGGGCTCCCTGCATGGAGCCTGCTTCTCCCTCTGCCTGTGTCTTTGCCTGTCTCTCACTCTCTCTGTGTCTCTCATTAATAAATAAATTTAAAAACCCTTAAAAATAAAAAAGTAAAAATAAATAAAAGTTAAATAAATAAGGATACCTGGTTGGCTCAGCAGTTGAGCATCTGCCTTCGGCCCAGAGTGTGATCCAGGAGACCTGGGATTGAGTCCCACATGGCTGAGTCCAGGCTCCTGCATGGAGCCTGCTTCGCTCTCTGTCTGTGTCTCTGCCTCTCTCTCTCTCTCTGTGTCTCTCATGAATAAATAAACAAAATCTTTAAAAACAAAAAAAAGTTAATAAATAAAAGTAATGTTGTATTTTTCCTGTTGAGTACAGTTTTGTTACTCTCCTTAAAAGTGTATACACAAGGTTTTTATCTTTTCTATGTATGAATAATTCATAATTTCAAAATTTTAAAGATTTAATATAAAATTATTAAAGTAATAAAAGTTCAGTATTTATAATAAAAAAATAATACAAAGAAAAAAAATTTTTTAAGATTTTATTTATTTATTCATGAGAGACACAGAGAGAGAGAGGCAGAGACACAGGCAGAGGGAGAAGCAGGCTCCATGCAGGGAGCACGACGCAGGACTCAATCCCAGGACCTCAGGATCGTGACCTGAGCCGAAGGCAGACGCTCAACCACTGAGCCACCAGGTGCCCTGAAGAAAAGGGCATTTTTCCCACTGGATTCTGTCCTATCTGTCATACACCCCAGCTTGGTGCTGAAACAGATACTTGCTACTTTAAAGAGCAGTAGGTGAAGATAAGGCCAACATGCTAAGATTAGCAGAGTAGGAAGATGAATAGAGCATGAGCCCTTGATGTCACAGAGGCACTGAATTAACCAACCTAGTGCCATCCCTACATAGGACTTCTGCTTGTGTACATTAATACATCCCCTTATTGTTTTAGCTATTTTGAAATGCATCCATTAGCAATCTTTCCAATTTGGTCTCCTTCTGTAGTTTTTTAGCAGCCTGTACTTCTGCTCCATCACAGATACCCTTATGGGAATAACTTTTGTACTTGTTTGTTGGATGTCTCTCATCTGCTGGACAGCAAGCTCCTTGAGAATAAGGACTGTGCCTGTCATAATTTCAGCATTAACTCCAGCGCCTGGCACATTATAAGGCTCTCAATAAATATTTGTGGAATAAACGAATAACCTTATTCATCAACTTCCCTACTACTGAATCCTTAAGTTGTTTCCAGCTTTTGAGTCCCCAAACACTTAATCTGATACCTTATTGTTCACCAGAAGCCTTACCTGATAACATAGTCAATTAACACATATTTACATGTTATATGTAGTATATACAGTATTTTTACAAGAAGTTAAAGAAAATATTATTAAGAAAAAAACAAGGAAGAGAAAATACTATACTTAAATACATTAAGTATACATGTATACTTACATTACCAAGAAATGTAAGTAATGAAAAAGTAATGAAAATACATTACTATACTGTGCAGAAATCCACATATAAGTGGACCTGTGCAGTTCAAACCTGTTGTTCAAGGGTCAACTGTAGTCTTCTCTATTTGTCTCATTCATATGTCTTACAATCATTTACTTTTTGTCTCTCGAGTTGAGGACCCCCAAGAGCTTACTACAAGGATCAAAGTTCAAAGTATTTCTTCCAAAAAACATATAGTGCTATCCTTAAAAAAAATTCTAATAAAGGGTGCCTGGCTGGCTTAGTCAGTAGAACAAGGGACTCTTGATCTTGGGGCCATAAGTTAGAGCTGGGTGTAGAGATTACTTTTAAAATTTTTAATTGAATTTTAAAAATTCTAATAACTTTTTCTCCAATTTCCTATATCATGACTCATACTACTACTTAGGATGCTTATATGTACCAGGCACACCACTAAACCCTTATGAAACAATTATCATTAATACTAGGAAGAATAAATAATTTGCTTTAAGTAACAACTAATTAGTAAAAAGAGCAAAAATTCAAAGCACCTGTCTGACTCCAAAGCCCATATTCTCCTCTGCCTATAAACAAATGACATAACTTTTTAGCATAGCACTCAAGCAGCTCTCCATTATTTGATCCGTTTCAGTATTCTCTCCCACCACACCAACACTGGACATCTCTGTTTCTTAAATATACTCTCTAATACCTTGTGCCATTCTATTTATCTAAAATGCATCCCTTTTTCGTCCATCACCTTCCTATTCATCCCTCAAGAATGATGTGAGAGGGATCCCTGGGTGGCGCAGCGGTTTGGCGCTTGCCTTTGGCCCAGGGCGCGATCCTGGAGACCCGGGATCGAATCCCACGTCAGGCTCCCGGTGCATGGAACCTGCTTCTCCCTCTGCCTATGTCTCTGCCATTCTCTCTCTCTCTCTCTATCTCTCTGTGACTATCATAAATAAATAAAAATTAAAAAAAAAAAAAAGAATGATGTGAGAATTCAATTAGTGAAACATGTAAATTACTTAAAATGCTGCCTGGCACATTATAAATAATAAATGTTAGCTGTTATTATTACATTTACAAGGTTTTAGAAAATTGCTGATAAATGATATGCCAAAATAGGTCAACCAAAAATAAAACCTTTGATAATATTCATTATCATACATACATATCATACATAATTATCATTAACATACTCTCACGCACATTCTCTCCCTCTCTCTTACACATACATGCACATTCACACAAAATACACACTCAAACACACAAAACCAAGCAAAGACATATAGTAGAAAAAACACCAGTAGTAAAGTGAGACATAGTCTTGGTTTAAATTTCAGCTGTGCCATTTAATGTGTGTGACTTTGGATAAATTACTGAAATTCTCTAAGCTCCTGTTTCCATACTCATTATGGTAAGGATATCTGAATCAACCTCGTAGGCTGGTGGTAAGAATTAAAGACATTTTACAAAGAGCTTAGCATGATGCTTGACACATAGAAGGCACTCATTAGGGGCACCTGGGTGCTCAATGGTTGAGCATCTATCTGCCTTTGGCTCAGGCCGTGGTTCTGGGGTCCTGGGATGGAGTCCTGAATCGGGCTCCCCACAAGGAGCCTGCTTCTCCCTCAGCCTATGTCTCTGCCTCTCTCTCTGTGTCTCTCATGAATAAATAAACAAAATCTTTAAAAATAATAATAATAATAAAGTTACCAGAGAACTTGATAAAAAATATCAATTCAAATCATATTTACTTATTAGCACTCATACTATTGTTAAGTCCAAAACTATGAGAGATATAACAAAAGAAGTCATATCCTCATCCTCAAGGAGTTTATTAGGAACCCAAATCAAAAAAAAAAAAAAAAAGGAACCCAAATCATACGGCAATATATTTTGTATTACATAAAACACAGGCTCTTAAAAGAAATATGCCAAAACACAGGAATAAAAAGTAGTATGGTGGTTGCCAGAGGCTAACAGAAAGAAGGTTGGGGAGTTACTGTTTAATGAGTAGAGTTTCAGTTTCACAAGATGAAAACTTCTGGAGACAAATGGTAGTAATGTTATTAGTACAATATTATGAATGTATTTAATACATCAAACTGTACAGTTGAAAATTATTAAGATGGTAAATTTTATCTGTATTTTACTACAATAAAAGAAGTATAAGTAAAAAACAAAAAGAAATATGCCGGGCAGCCCCAGTGGCACAGCGGGGCAGCCCCAGTGGCACAGCGGTTTAGCGCCGCCTGCAGCCTGGGGAGAGATCCTCGGGGCCTGGGATCGAGTCCCATGTCAGGCTCCCTGCATGGAGCCTGCTTCTCCCTCTGCCTGTGTCTCTGCCTCTCAGTCTCTCTCTCTCTCTGAATAAAATAAATAAATCTTAAAAAAAAAAAATGCCAAAAGTAGATTATCTAGAAATAAAACAATGAAAATAGTTACACAATGAACTTTGACAAAGATTTTTAAATAGGTTACAAATTTAGCACTTACCTTCAAATTTAAAATGGTAACATTTTCCAAGCAATAATACAGGGGAATTTCTACTAAAATATGTTTTTGTTTTCAACACCCAACCTAAACAAGAAAACAGAAAAGTAGTTTTGCAATTTAAGGATTTCAGACTAAGAGTCTAGCAGCATTTCCTTTTTTTTTTTATTTCAAATAGTTAATTCTCAACTATGGACATGCATTTTTTGCAAGAATAGCAAAATATATGGACAATGAACTGAAAATACAGGCCATTTATGTTACATTCAAATATAATTAAGTATTTTAAACACATTCTTTTTTTTTTTTTAAACACATTCTATCCACGTAAAGGACATGAGAAAGAAAAGAGTTTAATTTCTTTTCAAACAGGTCACAATGTTCTTATGGAATAAAATTTAAAAGATACAAATTCTACTCCAGTTTCTGACATCAACCTCTTTTCCCAAATACAACAAATGTTGCCAATTTTTTATATTTCCTTCCATCATTCCAATGAAGTAATTTAGGGATAAGGTAACACAGTACACTAGTGCTTGTGATAAATGTGGATCAATGTTTTCTAGGGAAATATTATAACACCATCATTTTAGCCACCTGAGGATCTCTGAAAATAGCAAATAAAGCTTTTAGAGATCCTCTTCTCAGTTTTCCACTTCCCAGTTCCTAATCCTCAGCTGTAGCTGCAAACTCCAATTGTTCCAGTTTTCTTCCTACTAAACTGTATACGTCCAGTATTCCCTTGGTTTTTTCCCCATACCCCAGAGACCATGACCTCAGCCAAAACCAAGAATCGATTGCTCAACTAACTGAGGAACCCAGACGGCCCTCCTTTTGTTTGTTTTTTTTTTTTTTTATAGTTCTCGGTTTCCTGAGAAAAACATTTGCCCATTACAGTCCTGAATATTCCCAAGTGTAGCTTATGGTAGCCTTGAAAGCTACTTCTAAAATGCAAGAAAAGGGCAGCCCCGGTGGCCCAGTAGTTTAGCCCCGCCTTCCGCCCCGGGGTGTGATCCTGGAGATTTGGGATCGAGTCCCGCATCGGGGAGTCCGCATCCGGCTCCCTGCGTGGAGTCTGCTTCTCCCTCCTGCCTGTGTCTCTGCCTCTCTCTCTAGCTGTGTCTCTATGAATAAATAAATAAAATCTTTAAAAAAATAAATAAAATAAAATAAAATGCAAAAACATATAAGCAGAAAGAATATGAAATTGGGAGTCAACAGACTTAGGTCTACTTTTTTTTTAAGATTTTATTTTATTTACTCATGAGAGATACAGAATCTACTCTTAAGTAGACTACCTGCCATTTATATTGAAGAATTGTTAGAAAATTTAAAATCAGTGATTCTTATGAAAATGCTCCCCAAAGTACTATAATACAAACACATATAAAAAACAAATACATAAAAATATGTATTCATGATAAGAATTATGCAAGTATTTGAATTTGCTGGAAAAAAGAATGGAAAATCAAACACATGAATCAGGCTTTCATTCAGCTTGGATTACTGCACTCTTCTCCAGAATGGTTTCCGTTGCCATCAGGCTTTCTTTGCTCTAGCATATGCCACGTGTCACTGCCAGATTCATCTCCCCATGGCTCAGCTTTGATTAGGTAACTCTTCCGCCTAAAAGCCATCTTCAGTGACTCATTATGTAACAGATTTATTATGAACCTCTCAGTGACACTAAGGAGTTTCCAAAATATGATACAAATTACCTGTGTAGTCATCTTTTCTGCTACTTTTCACCTACACTCAAAGTGAGGTTTGCTATTTGGCTCCTACTATCCCATGACAAAAATGTCCTCCCCAATATCAGCCTATCTAAATCCTACCTCTTCTGGCTCATGTACGCACTTCTAAGCCATTTTTTTCCTAAGGCTCTAATGCTCTTCTCTGAACACCAGTGGGAAATTAGTATGCACTGACCACCTACTGTATACCAGGAAGTAGGCTAGGCAGTTTACAAACATATTGTCTTAGAAATATTATTACTACTATACCAGAATGATTCTAATCCCCCAAATAGTAATAACCCCTTCCCCTCCAAAGGCATTTTCTAGGCAAATTTGAAAAACTTCACAAAAACACCCTCAAATAGGGGATCCCTCGGTGGCGCAGCGGTTTGGCGCCTGCCTTTGGCCCAGGGCGCGATCCTGGAGACCCGGGATCGAATCCCACGTCAGGCTCCCGGTGCATGGAGCCTGCTTCTCCCTCTGCCTGTGTCTCTGCCTCTCTCTCTCTCTCTGTGACTATCATAAATAAATAAAAATTTAAAAAAAAAAAAAACACCCTCAAATAAAAGGAAACAATCCTTAAGGAGGAACTTCTCTCTCTCTATGCTTTACTCTCCGCCTACCCCCTCTGAAGAGTCACCAGTCTTTCCTCAAGAAAAGAGAAGTTTCAAATCTGATTTCTTAGGGCCTGGGGCATGGCAAGGATCCACATTTTACGTGAGTACAGATTTATAGTGCTTTGAAGCTCAACCATCATTCATATGGTACACACTCTCACTTTTGTACTTCCTGTGCAAATCCTGGCAGGACCTAACCCTCATAATAGCCTGACTTCCTTTAATACTCCAGGATGCTAGGTACATAAAGAAGACTTAGGACTTCTCATAAGGTCCAGCCATTTTTCTCTTTCTCTTTTTTTTTTTTTTTTTTTTTTTAGGGTCTTACCTTTTTATTTATTTTTTTTATAATAAATTTATTTTTTATTGGTCTTCATTTTTCTCTTTTTCCACAGGCATATGAGAGCTGAATTAGACCAGTATGCCAAGTGACTAGTCTATATTCTTTTTTTCTTTTAATTGATTAGTTTTAACTGATCAATTTTCATTTTATCTTTTTAAATGCATTGTAAGAAATGTACCATTATCTCTGCCCTAGCTTGTTGATGCTGAACCAAGGCACTAAGGCACACAGAGATGGAAAAATGAAGGATGTAAAATCCATAGAGGCATAAGATAACAGAGCCTGGGGCATTGGAAAGAGCCATGAATAAGAAGTATGATTATAAATAAGTTATTCTAACACATATTGAAAAATATATATTCATCAGAATTCTTATACTCAAGAATATATTTTTTTATTTTATCCCTCAATCTCCCCTACTTTTTACCTCTACATCTCAATTTATAGGAGCAGAGAGGCGAGGCAGGCAAATTAAATGTCATTATGATTTCTAAATAAAAACTAATTAAATAAAACTAAATAAAGAAAAGTAACTTAATTTGGCAAACAAGCCATTAAATAAATTGACAAAGGGCTGTGACTTTCTATGAGGGGTGAGCAATGACCAGAAAGAAGAATGAAGAAACTTCCTGAGGTGAAGGAAATTTTCTATATATTGATTAGATTGTTAATTTCACAGATATAAACGTGTCACACTCTGGAAATTGTATACTTATGATCTGTTCATCTCACTTTACTTTCTCTCAATTACAAAAAAAAAAAATGAAGAGATAAACTGGAACAGTGTTTCAATTATTTGTTCCTGTTTAACAAACCAATCCACAACTTAATTTGAAACAACTTTTTTCCTTCTATCACACAGTTCTGTGGGTTGACTGGGCTCAAGTTCTGCTGGTCTTGCTTAGAGTCTCTAATGTAGTAAAAATCAGATGGAGAGACTCAGTTGAGACACTGCATTGGCTGATGCTTTCTCAGGGCCTTTCTTCTTCATGTGGCCTCTCCATGTGATTTCTCCAGCTGAGTACCTAAGTTCGTTACATAACAGTTCAGAGCTCCAAAACAAAGCAAGTAGAAGTTGCCTCTTAATGGCCAGGCATAGAATTGACACAGCCTCATTTCTATCTCATTCTATCGGTTAATATAAAGCACAGGCCAACCCAGATTCAATGAGAAAAGAGACAACACAAGATATGATTAAAGATCCTTACTAAGGACCATCTTTGGAGACTAGCTACCATAAGCAGAATATTACAAAACCTATAGTCCCTTAAGTCAGCAAATTGAAAATCACAAGTCTTTAAAAGATGTAAACAAGCCAAAGAACATAGAAATAACAGATGGTAATGATTTTTCTGGAGGATCAAAAACATGCAGAAAAAGGATGGTTAAAAAAAAAAGGATGGTTTACTTATTACTATTTTAAAAGGGAAGTCCAGTTTATATACCTCATAAAGTCATGGAAATAAAAGGGGGGAGGGGAGAAGAAAGCAAAAATGAAAGTTTTACAAGAAAGTAAGGTCCACAGCCTTTTAAATCTTAAATGTTATGCCATTTCTAGTTCCATATTCATCATTTTATAATATTAAAATTGACAAAAGCAATCCTAACTTATGTTCCACTGTATTCAGAAAACAGCAAGACTGAGGAACAAGGGAGGCTGGGTTTGAATACCAGTTTCAAGAGTTATGACCAGTTCAAGAGTTATGACCTAGATATGTGACCATGGATATGTCACTTAATCTCAGTTTTCTAATTACAAAAAATTAAAAAAAAAAAAACCTCAGAAAGATATCTATCTCAGAAAGATATGAGATTTAAATGAGAAGGTACATAAATTATCCACAAAATGCTAGTGTGCTAATCAGTGTTCAATCAATGTTAGTCCTTCCTACACCACACATACTAAACAAACTCTAAGCAAGGAAAATACATAAAACATTTTACAATGATTTTCACCAATAAAAATACATAAAACATTTTACAATGATTTTCACCAATAAAATCAAACAAAAATACTACTCCATAACTTGAAGCTATCTAGAATACTTAGTTAGCCTGAACAATCTAATCTGTTCCTTTGAGATTAGAGATTATCATAATTTTACTATGGATACTTAAAATATCTAGATATTAAAAACAACACAAATGTAAATAATAGATTAAATAACAATTCCTAGGATACTACTAAAATGTATTATCTAGTTCCTATGTGGCAATTTTCAGCTTATAAATGAAATCCTCATTACATAACCTATTCAGCTGATTAAATGGCTTAAAAATAGCATTAAATCTCTATTTGCAGGTGAACATGATCTTACATATAGAAAATCCTAACGAATCCACAAAATAACAGTTAGAGCTAATAAAATACAACACCAAGGGAATCCCTGGGTGGCTCAGCAGTTTAGCGCCTGCCTTTGGCTCAGGGCATGATCCTGGACTTCCCAGGATCGAGTCACACATCGGGCTCCCTGCATGCAGCCTGCTTCTCCCTCTGCCTGTGTCTTTGCCTGTATCTTTCTGTGTCTCTCATTAATAAATAAGTAAAATCTTAAAAAATAATAATAATATATACAAATAGCCAATAAGTATATTAAAAAAATGCTTAACATCATTATTCATCAAGGTAATGCAAATCAAACTCAGCAACATACACCCACTAGAATGGCTCTAATAAAAAAAATGGACGGGGCACATGGGTGGCGACATTGTATGATGGACAATAGAGAGAGGTGAGGAAGAATAGGGAGTAGCTATGAATGGGTATAAGGTTGCTTTGGGGGTGATGATGGTTGTACAGTCTTGTAAATATACAAAAAAACACTGAATCATAAAAGGGTATGTTCTTTAGTATGTAAATTATATCTCAATTTTTTAAAAATTGATGTTCAGAGTTTTCAAAATGCAATGTCTCATTATTACCAAGTTATAACTATCTAAAGAGCTTGCTGTCCATGCCTTCCAGTGAACCAGGAGCCACTGTCAATTATATTTTACCTGAATTTGCATTATGAAGGGGTTTTGCTAAATGTTATCTTTCCTATTGTATGGATATGAACTTCTTCCTGCTGCAGCTGATTCCAAGTATTTCTCCATTTTTGAAACTTTCTTAATCTCCAATTTGTTTCTAGTCCAAAGTGGGTTTCAAAACCACCTTATGATCCTTACTGGATTTGTTTGCAAACCAAGAATAACTAGGTTAAAAATAAAGGTCTAGGGGTACTCCTAAAAGAAATTCATAGGTATCATCAGAGTGTGAACTCTGCTTTGTGTGTTCAAAGGTCTATTTTTGCTTGCTTCCCCTAGTTTATATATGAAGTTGCCTGAAACTGAGTTTGAAAAACTGAGGTGTTAACATCACTTAAATAAATTCCATCTGCTTCTGAATGTTTAAAGAAAAAAGGGCCCACATAGTATGCCTGAGTTTCTAGACAATGCTTATGATGATATTTGGCTCTTTCTTCAGGATATATGCTTATCTACATTCTTATAGAAATTATTCATTCAAAGAGAAACTTAAGCAATTGTGACTTAATAAGGCAGATGATATACATCTTCAAATATTTCTTTGGATCTATACAGTTTTTAAATAATACTTACTATATTTCATGTTGTTCCAAGCAGATATAAATTTAGTTTTTAGCTTGTCAACTTCATCTGTTCCTGTGGCCTCCATATTCAAATTCTAAGGAAAAAGCCATTACTTGATTGCATTCTTCTGTAAAGTTAAATCTTTTGTACTGACTAAAAGAAAAAATATTAAAGAAAAATAAGTATAAGTATATATTATATGGCTATACTGCTGAAGTTTTACTTGTGATTAAGTACAATTTAAACTGCAAATGGACAAACCAATTTTTCATTTTACATAACAGAATATAATTTATTCGATAAATAATTACAAAAAAATAAATACCAAATACCACACAAAACCAAACAACAATCTCCTCCAAGTACTCACAATTAAGAACAACATATCAGCTTAGTAAACCAACTCAGCTTTGGTGCTTGTGAGACTATTCAAGAATTGTTTTATTTGTAATGAGAGAAGATGGTTTTAAATCTTGTAAGAAACGGTAACTATCTTCAGAATGGAGGATTCCACTTAAACTGATTAAGTCACTACTATCATTTTAAGGCATTTCCTACCTTTCCTTCCTACCTCAATACTGCAGCATTTATTTATTTTTTTTAAAGATTTTATTTATTTATTTGACAGAGATAGAGAGAGAAGGCAAGCACAAACAGGGAGAGGTGCAGAGGGGTAGTAGGGAGAAGTAGGCTCTGCAACGAGCAGGGAGCCAAATGTAAGGCTCGATCCCAGGACCCTGTGACCTGAGCTGAAAGCAGACGCTTAATGACTGAGCCACCTAGGCACCCCCTGCAGCATCTTTTTAAAAAACAGAATGGTTTAGGGGCACATAGGTGGCTTAGTCAGCTAGGCAAGGGATTCCTTATTTCAGCTCAGGTCATGATCTCCAAGTCCTCAGATCAAGCCCTACACTGGGCTTTGCACTCAGCAGAAAGTCTGCTGGAGATTCTCTCTCTCCCTCTCCCCCTATCCCTCTCTTTCTTTTAAATAAATAAATCTTTTTTTAAAAAAAGAATGGCTTAAATATACAACAGAAAATGTTTTCTTACTTTAAGAATAAATGTAGCTTATAAGTACTTGTTTTATAACTGATTTGAGGGAAAGTTGAGATGTGTAATGTAATCTGAAAGAGGAACAAATTACACCTTAGGATGCTTGTGCTTATTTCCAATAATTCAGTTTACTTTTCAAGAATACTGCACAGAACATTTCCCTTTTAGGTATTATAAATATCTACTCAAAAAAAATAAAATAAATAAATATCTACTCAAAAGTATTGATACATTTATTTCTCTAACAGTACACATTCAATTTTATAATATGTACTAAAAGCTACTAATTATACAATACAGTTGAAGCAGGAGAAAGCATGGTCCACTGGAAAAATTTTAAAAGCCAATGTGACTAGAACACAGAAAAAAGGGAGCTTAAGATATAGCCATAGGTTTAACATGGGCTACAGCACACACGGCCTTGTACACCATGCTAAGAATTTTGTTGCTTATCCTAAGAACAATTGGTTTCTAACAGGAATATTAGAATCTGATCTGTGGGTTTGCCTCCCATAGCAGCACAAAGAATAGATTAAAAAGGATGAGAGCACACAATTAGAGTTTATTAGTACTGTACAGGACTACTAGAGAGATGATAATAGTTTGGAATGGAGCAACAGAAAGTGAGAAAAACAGACATATAAGGAAATGTGTCAAAAATTCAATGTCTTGGTGATTAAATGAATATGGAAGGCAAGAAAGATAGATATGCCAGATACACCCATGTTCCTGGCTTGTGAAACTAAATAAAAGATACCAACCATTGAAACAGGGAGCATCAGAAGAAAGTCAGGTTAGAGAAGATCATGAATTTGACTTATATGTAGTTTGAGATGCTCTGAGAGATACATTAAAGAATCATTCATTTATTTAATTATTTAATAAAGTATTCCCAGACACTGTTCAAGGAAATGCAGATATGGCTTAGGACAAAAGTAGTGAAATACTTCCTCTCATGGAGCTTATATTCTAGAGGTATTCTAGAGAAGCCAACTAGGCAGCTGGATATATAGATCTGGAGCTTAAAGGTGAGGTGTGAGCAAGAGCTATTGGAGAACTGATGACATTCTCCAACGTATGGGAGATTCTCTCTCTCCCTCTCCCCCTATCCTTGGTTCCCTTTCTCTTTCTTTTAAATAAATAAATCTTTTTTAAAAAAAGAATGGCTTAAATCTACAACAGAAAATGTTTTCTTTAAGAATAAATGTAGCTTATAAGTCCTTGTTTGATAAATGATTTGAGGGAAAGTTGAGATGTGTAATGTAATCTGAAAGAGGAACAAATTACACCTTAGAATGCTACATGATACAGAGAATGAGAATTAGAGCTAAAAAGATGTTCCTCAAGGACTTTGCCTTATTTACACCCTTAGCCTTGAGAATATTCAAGGCCTTCAAGAAATTATATCTGCCCTCTTAGTTTCCTCTCTTGCTACTCCTTCACATGTACCATACACTGAAGCCACTTTTAATATTAATATTAAAGCTTCCTAAACTGGACATGCTTCCATGTCTTTGCATGTGCTGCTTCCTCCACCTAGAAGGCCTTCCTGCTCACCCTTACTTTTTGACTACCTTGTTATCATGAGTCCCAAAGACCCAGCTTAAGTTTCATCTCTTCTGGTCAGACTTGTAAGATTTCTAACCCCCTCCATACCTCAAACTAAAATAGATGGCCGTGCTCTTAGCTCCCATAGGATTCTTTGTCCTCCTCTATCATGGCATTCATCACACTGTATTGTAATCTTCTTACCTCTTACACTAGATGGTCAACTTTTTGAATGTCCTTAAGCTCTGCTTGGCATGTGACTGGTCTCAAAATATGTTTATTAAATGAATCAGTGAACTGATAAATTGATATATCACTTAGCGTTTTTATAAGCTGTAAAATTCTATCAACTGGAAATTTTTTTCACTGACAACTAGAATAAAAAATTTTCCTTCAGAAAATTGCATAATTTAACAAAATTTAGAAAAGCAAGGAGAAAGGTTTATTAAAATGTGCATCTACATGATTGATTGATTGATCCATTAAAAATGTCTCCTGAGGGGGATCCCTGGGTGGCGCTGCGGTTTAGCGCCGGCCTTTGGCCCAGGGTGCGATCCTGGAGACCCGGGATCGAGTCCCATGTCAGGCTCCCGGTGCATGGAGCCTGCTTCTCCCTCTGCCTGTGTCTCTGCCTCTCTCTCTCTCTCTGTGACTATCATAAATTTAAAAAGAAAAAAAAGAAAAAAAAAGAAAAAAGAAAACTTAATGTAGCCACTTTTCCAAAGTGTTTGGCAATAGCTATTCAAAGTAAACATATTCATAGCCTTTGCCTAGAAACTATGCTCCTAGGCATACAGAAACAACAGAAATGCATACATATGTTCAATAAAGCATATATATAAACCTATTAATAGTAGTATAATTCACAGCTCCAAACTACCAACTCAAACATCCATCAACTGTGAAATGGAAGTACTGTGTATTTTTTTTAAGATTTATTTATTTATTTAGAGAGCGAGTGAGAGAGCACATGAGCAGGGAGAGGGACAAGGAGAATCTCAAGCAGACTGTACATTGAGCCAACAAGGGCTCAGTCTCCCCACCCTGAGATCATGGCCTGAGCTAAAACCAAGAGTTGGTTGTTCAACCAACTAAGCCATCCAAGTGCTGCTATGGTATATTTATAAAAATGGAATATTATATACAGCAGTAAGAATGAACGACAACTACATCAACAATGTTAATAGATCTTACAAACATAATGTTGAGCTAAAGAAGCCAACACACCAAAATATATATGAGCCCCTTTCTAAAGGTTCCAAAATAGGCGAAATTGATCTATGATATTAGAAATCAAATTAGAAATTACCTTCAGGGAAGAGGAAGGAGTGACCTGGGATGCCTGGGTGGATCAGTGGTTGAGCACCTGCCTTCAACTCAGGACGTGATCCTGGGGTCCCAGGATCAAGTCCCACATCAGGCTCCCTGCATGGAGCCTGCTTCTCCCTCGCCTAAATCTCTGCCTCTCTCTCTCTGTGTCTCTCATGAATAAATAAATAAAATCTTTAAAAAAAAAAAAAAGAGGAAGGAGTAACCAAGAGGAGATACAAGGGTAGGCTATGGGTGCTAATGTTCTATTATAATCTACATGGTAAAAATATGGGTCTAATCCCTTCGTGAAAACGGAACTGTTCATTTATTATTTGTTTACTTTTCTCTTTGTATATTATACTTCAATAAAAATGTCTATTAAACAATTACTTTGCCAATGTGGAACAGATGGCCTTGGGCTATTCTTTGCCTTCAGAGGCAAGTCTTGAGAAGAGTACATCAATTATAATAGGCCAGCCTAGATGCAAATCTGAACCTAGCATGGGGAAACTACTCAAACCTCAAATGAGGAACCATCTATTTTTAAAGGGGAGTGAAAATCATATTCTTCAAAAATGTCAGTGTCATGTGAGACAAAGAAAGGCCATGGAAACATTTCACATCAAAGGAAACTAAAAAGACACAACAGCTAAATGGAATACCTGCTTCTAAGAAAAAGGAATAAAATTATAAAAGGTATTATATTGATAAATCTAGACAACAGACAGTAGTATTTTTACTAAATCTACACTGTAATATTTAGGCATAAAGAGTCACAATGAATACAACTTATTCTCAAATGGTTCAGAAAAAATATTTCATATATACATATAAAAAATATGAATCTAGGTAAGGGATTTTAGTTGTGTTTTATGTATTTTTCTTATTTAAACTTAGAGAAAATATGCAAGAATAAGAATAGAATTTTTAATTTTTTTAAAAGGGAATAACCAAAAATTTTAAACGAGGGGAGGATTTGCCTTACTGAATATTAAAACACATTGTAAAACTAGAGTAGTTAAAGTCTAGTTATACTTAAATTTATTATTTGTTAGCAAAGGATGACAAGACTAAAAACATAATAGGGAGAATAGAAATAAATTCAAACATATGTGAGACTCTAGTACCTGATATAAGGAATATTTCACATCACTGAAAAAAAAAAGGCTAATTTAATTTAAAAATAAAAAAAATAAAAGTGCTAGAGTAGGGCAGCCCTGGTGGCTCAGCAGTTTAGCACC